ACTAATCTTTTCCTTGTATCCTGTTCTCTTCATTCTCCCTTGCTCCTGAAGGGGTGAGACCAGTGGAGTATCTCAGATGGCTGCTCACAGGCTTTTAAGACCCCAGACGCTACTCGCCAAGGTAGAATGTAGAACATGGTCTTTACAAACTGTGATATGCCTATTGAGCTAGATGTTCCCAGGGGCCATGGTCCCCACAGCCCTCCGCCCAGCAATTCAGTCCCTCAGGGAGTTATCCAGAGAGTTTTCACTGGTTGATTTTTAGAAGTAGATCTCCAGGCCTTTCTTCCTAGGCTGTCTTAGTCTGGAAGCTCCCTGAAACCTGTTTAGCATCATAGCAACATACAAGCTTCCACTGAAAGACAGCTGGTGCTGCACATAAGGTGCATTATCCAGGAATCCAACCCAGGTCTTCTGCCTGGAAGGTGAGACTTCTACCACTGAACCACCAATGCCCACATACCGTTGATCTATAGGAAGTCTTAACTTCAAGTCATTCTGAACCATTGCCCAGTTGTGTTCTTGGTATTCTGTTATCACCATAAACAGTAAATGACATAGTAAACTTGAATGAGGCCATCTGAAGTTCACGCCAGGTGATCGTTGCCAGGAATCACACCTCCGAGAAGGCGAGTCCTGGGCATCTGTAACACCGAAACTGGCAGGGTGCCTGACACTGAAGTATGTTCTTAAGTGTATTCTTAAGAGGACATGAGGACTGTGCAAGAATTATCGAAGCTTTTTAATTTTTTTGTTAGGATAATCTCTGAATAAATAATCTATGTGTATACTGAGTTACCGCGATGACCACCTTAAATCCCTAATTACTGAGGGCTGACACCCAGTCTTTGTGCTCATATCTCTACTTGCACTGAAGTTCACATTGGCAGCTTCATTCATCATGGGCAAGGAGAAAACAAAAAGAAAGAGGAGGCAATACTTAAACTGGTATCTCTGTATCGTGTAATAATGAAAGTTTGCAACATTTCAAGGACAGCAAAGATGCTGGTTATTTGAATCATCTCACAATACATAGAAACCTAAATGTGTTGAACACAAAAGACACCAAACTGTAGTAGTTTGTACCAAAATCACATTGATAATAGCAATTTATTTACACTAAAACAACATCATGTCACATTATATGTAGATTTGAGTTTTAACGAATTTGTTGTTTTGAGTGTATTTACTCTGCATATTTTTGTTTACTTGTTTGTCTCATAATTTTATAAAAGATATAAGCAGCAGGAATTTAGACATTGATAAATCAACCCTGGTGGATCCATGAGAAATTTTTCCATTAATATTGATTGTGCCTTTCTAATAAAAAGATGTGACCAACCCTGCCTCCAATAATTCCAAAGCCTGTTAATGAGACTATTTTGCTCTGAGCTTAAGACATTCTGTGTATGTATTTCTATATCTAGCAGACAGTATTCTAAAGTTATTGCGTTGTTTTCAGATAAAGTTATCTGACTTTGGTTTCTGCGCTCAAGTTTCCAAAGAGGTGCCAAAGAGGAAGTCACTGGTTGGCACGCCATACTGGATGGCACCCGAGGTGATATCTAGACTACCTTATGGGACAGAGGTAAGGGGGTAACAGTCAGTTTGGAGAGGTGTGGCCTGGGCAGGCTCAGGAATGCAGTGGTTTTGAGTCAGCTATGAACCACAGGAGACCTGGGTGATGAGTTTTTCAATCTCACGCTTGATCCCCACTCACTAGACTTGATACACAGTGGCTTGTGGCAGAAGGGAGACTGGCCACCACTGAGGATATGGCCACATTTACTCAGGGGGCTGTTTATTGGGGTCTGTAATGGACAGAGCTCCATGCACAACACTGGCGGAGAGTCACTCAAACGCGGATCCGTTCTCAGTAGTAAAGAGGTGCATGAAGCAAGGCAATGCGATTTGAAAAGTGGTAAGATATGCACAGAGGACCAGCCATGGTGATTCAGAGAAAAGATAAGAGGGTTAGAGAAAGCTCCAGAAAATAGAGGTAATATTTGAATGAGCAGTTGAGAGAGAAAGGTAGTTTTCCTTTTAATAAGGTATTCCTGTAGAAAAATTATATACAAATATTATAACATATTAAAAAATCTGGCATAGTTTTGATTTCCTCTGGAAAGGAAATAATCATATCTTTTAAGGAGTAGAGCTTGTGAAAGTGAGGGGACAGAGAGAGTGGAGAAAAGGCAATCTAGGGTGGAAAGAGTGTGAGTAAAATCTCTGAAACACACAAACGTACATACATGTGGAGGCCAAGAAGTTCATTTCGACTTCTAATCAACCCCACAACAGAGGAGTTTTCCTCTCCCCCTTTTACAGATGTAGAACTTCTACATTCTTGTACTTCTACTTCTACATGTAGAACTTCTACTTCCAAACATTATGGTGCAGAAGGTGATTCTAAGAGAGGAGAACAATGGTAACAGGTAGTGTGGACCAATGATCTATGGAGAGCAGCATAAATTGAGTAGGCTCTCCTCTGTTTTCCATGTCTGCCTGACCTTGAATGAGTAGTGAACTTGTTTTTCTTACTGTGGTCCCAAGAGCATAAATTCTCAGTGAAGGTCACTGCAAGGTTTATAATAGCAGTGGAGCCAACAGATAAGAGGTGTAATGAGGCTATAATGGGAAGTGACTATAACTGGAAATTTATAGCACAGCTATGGCTTTTCATTGTCCAGGCTTCTCATTCTTTACCCAGAAAGAATTGCTTGTCATCTCTTCCTCTACTGTTCTCCATTCCTTGAAAAAGGTTTTATAAAACAAGGTTTTGTGCATGCTCCTTTTAAATGATAAAACGTAAAGGAAAGAACTTCAAAGAGGGGGAGATAGAACTTTTTTAAAAAAAATCAAATTAATAAAAGAATCAGAATATATTCTACACTGTGCTATGTAGCTCCTTGCATTTTGTTATGAATGTGTGAAAAAAAAATTCCTTATTTTCTTATGGTTTAAGTGCAACTTTTTTCTCTATGTTAATAATATAAAACTTTGGATATTTTTCACATCTGCCCTGAGAGGCAGTTAACTAAGGAAGTTAACAGGGTGAAAACTCAAGTTCTAAACAGAAAGTTAAGATACTCATTTATCCCAAATTGGTAGAAACTTCTTTGACATTGTCTGTAAAAAGCAAAAGAAGACCATTAGCAAAACCTTTTTAAGCCAACCAGCCTGTAGACCTGTATTATGAATTTTGAGAGGTTACAAATACTACAATTAATTTCCGAATATGAGTCTGTTGGGTTCCATAAGCACATCCAACATTTCAGCATGTTCTCCTTGCCTGAAATAACCAGTGGGATGTCCTAACAGGTGGACATCTGGTCACTTGGGATCATGGTGATAGAGATGATCGATGGCGAGCCTCCCTACTTCAATGAGCCTCCACTCCAGGCAATGCAGAGGATCCGGGACAGTTTACCTCCAAGAGTGAAGGACCTACACAAGGTGGGAAGTGACATCTGTTGCTGAAGTTCAACATAGATCTAGAATTTGTCAGCCACTTCGTTGTTTTAAAGACTGGCATATTTCATCCAGGCAGTAGATCCTGGTTTACAGGCATGGACTTTGGAATTAGAGTCACTTGGTTAGAGTCACTTGGATTCAAATCTCTGCTCTTCCTTTCCTTCACTGGGAAAGTGATTCAGCCTCTCTGACTTTGAAGTTCTACATCTGTAAAAGGGGGAAAGGAAAACTCCTCTGTTGTGGGGTTGATTAGAAGAGTAAATTAGGTACTCCACTCAACATTCATTCATTGAACACCTACTGCATGCTGGGTACTGTTCTAATTGTTGAGATATTGCAACACAAGACCCCAGATTCCTTGACTGTCCTAGAGATTACATTCTAGTTGGGGAGGTGGATAATGAACTATAAACAAATGCATGAATAAAATACTTACAGAGAGTGGTAAGTGTGTGAAAAAAATAAAACTCTGTGATGTGATGGGAGTGTGCAGGGGAGGGGCTGGGAGTTAGTCTAGGTTGAAGAGGGAAGGAAGACCTCTCTGAGCAGGGACCATTGAGCAGGACCTGAATGGGAAGAAGGAGCCAGCCCACGCAAAGATCTGGGAGAAGAATGTCCTAGGCAGAGGGAACAGCAAGTGCAAAGGCTGTAAGCCAAGAACAAAGGCCTGTGTGGCTGGAGCAAAGTGAGCAAGGGGAAAAGAGTAAGACATGATGTCAGAGAGGTAAGCAGGGGCTAGATCATGCAGCACAGTGAAGGTCATGATTATTATAATGCATGTAAAGGACCAAGTGGTGTCTTTCCTGTTTTCCAAACATTGTCAACTATAGCCAAGCTCAGGAAAAGGGAAAAGAAAAAAAGGATGCTCAAGAGTCACCACTGTGGGAGGAGCCAGCTCCCTGCAAGACTTGCTGAGAGGTGTCATTTCTGCAGAATCGGTACCATAAACATTGACACCCACACACACCTGCTTTCCCATCTGCATCATGACAATGAGAGGATGTGAGGCTGCCTTTTGGAGGAAAATAGTTGGCAGTGGTAGAGTCTCCTTTCCCCTCACCCCTAAATCTGAGGGTAGAGCCCCAGTAAAATCACCCATAAAAGTTGCGTGAACTTGCAAAAAACGGAGACTGCTTAAACCAAACAGGACATTGAAATTGTAACTGAATTGGACTAAGTTTTAATAATGAAAAGTGACTAACAAATCTATGGTATCACAATAGATCCACACCCAATAGAAATGCGTATTGATGTTCTTCAAAGCCATGTACAAGAAGGCTCTTGACCATTTTAATCATAATGGTCCAAAAAGTGGAAGGCTCCCAAGGCTGTTCCCAAATGAAGAAATAATGTGTGATATACTTCAACAGTACACAGCACTGAAAAGGAAAAAGTATTGCCACACACATCAGGGATGAATCTCAGAGACCTAATGTTTAGAGAAAGATGTGGGACAGGAAAGAGTTCATACTATACAACTCTGTTTCTATAAAGAAACAAACACAGGCAAGACTAATGTATGCTAGTAGAAGTCAGCATAGTGACGACATTTACAGGGGGAATGGGTATTGAGGTAGCCTCCTAGAGTGGTGGAAATATTCTATATCTTGACTGAGGTAGAGAGTAAATATGTATAAATCTATGTAAAAGTCGATTGAGCTATACCCGTATACCCATTGCCATCGAAGCAATTCTGGCTCATAGCGACCCTATATTTATGCACTTGAATGTGTATAAGGGATATGTTGAAAAAGTAAATTATTAGAAATGAAAGGAAAAAAATGCTATCTGTGTCAGATATCCTTTAGGAAGCTTGCTTCTATTGTAAAAAAGGGGGATTCCACAGAGCCTAGATGGTTGCAGTTATTAGCAAGATAAAACTATGCTATGTTTATACCACACTTCATAAAAGCTTGTGTGTGACCATGCCGGAACGTAGTGAGCAACCCATAATAGTTGCTGTTGTCATTACTGGGAGAGTCCCTGTGGTGAAAACAGTTAACGCGGTTGTCTGCTAACCCAAAGATTGGAAGTTTGAGTCCACCCAGAGGCACCTTGGGTGCCTGATAATCTACTTCTGAAAAATCAGCCATTGAAAACCTTATGGCGCGCAGTTCTACTCTGAAACACATGGGGTCGCTGTGAGTTGGAGTCGACTTGATGCCAACTAGTTTGGATGTTTTTTATTATCATTATTATTACCATTATTATTTTATTTAGTAAATGAGTTTTTATTCTTAGCTGAACCATAATTAATCCTGTTATTTCAAGCTTGAAGAAGGTAAGGAAAATGTCATCTGTTAAAAAAGGCAATGCCTTGTTTGGCTTCCACAACATCTTTCTCCTCAAGGTGACTTGCTAGAATTTGATGTTGTTGATATAATGACTTTTCTAGGACCTAAGTGGGAAACCATTTTAGGGGACCTGGGTTGAGTTTCTGTGTTAGACTTCAGCATGAAATCTTTGTCTTTTGACAGTTTTCTTCAGTGCTGCGGGGATTCCTAGACCTGATGTTGGTGAGGGAGCCCTCTCAAAGAGCCACAGCCCAGGAACTCCTCGGACATCCATTCTTGAAACTGGCAGGTCCACCATCTTGCATTGTTCCCCTCATGAGACAATACAGGCATCACTGAGCAGAGGATTCACATAGGTGAAAGCACTAGATGAGGACATGAGAATAATTCAGGAGAACATGAAGAACCCATGGACCACTGCAAAAGGCCTGTGCATTCAAGACCCGCTTATTGGTGGGACAGTGTGGTGACCGGCAGGGTTTGACAGACCAGGGCATCTAATTGTGTCTTAAACAGGCATCTCTCCACTAACAGCTGGCGAGGTCATTTGAAGCACGGCTTTACTAAGTCATTATATTTTTCAGCCCTTCATCCAGCAAATCAGAAGGACTCAGTACAAACTCCGTTATGATATATCCTAGCCGCAAGCAGGGTAACACATAGGATTTTCTATTTCAAAAGAGTACTTTTCTGTCAAAAAAAAAAAAGAAAGAAAGGAAAACAAAAAGCACTTTTTTCTTAATGGTAGCAGTGTAATGTATTTTGCAATGAATTTGTAATTTTTCTGTACGATAGTTTTGATAATTTATAGTACTTTGATGTCACGTAGCCATTGTATCAGTTGAAGTAATACTTGTTTCCTACCTAGCAGGAGTTTGAACAAAGCCTTTCCTACTTTTTTATCCCTTTCAGAGAACCAACGACTCTTTAGAACCTTTGAATACTGAATGAATCTCAATCACCGTCAGCTTTAGTAGACTCTTTCTTATTTTAACAAGTGTCTTATATGATGGAAGAAGAATTAAGAGTGATGGTGATGGTGGTGCACGTTTCATTTACCCAACCAAAAACATAATAAAATAAAATTTAAGCCACAGTATAACCACCAAACTACTCCTTGGGATGAAGCTAAATAATTTGAAAAATCTCATTTTTCTTCAAAGCTACTAGTAGCAAACCATTTGTTGCATGGCAGGACGTTCCGCCTAGTGCACTCAAATGGGTGTGGCATCCCTTGTGGCCAAATTTCCCTTCCAAGGAGCAATTTCAGTGCTAGAATCATTGGACTTACCTCCCCAAATTGAATGTTTCAAAGAGGCCGTGAAAATTCCAGTCTCACAAAAGGAAAGGAGAGAGAATGGGGCAAGATGTTTGGTTTCGTTTGTCGCTGTTCTGAAAACTGTATGCTAGCACACCAAACTCTTGTCTATTTACCTTTGTACTACAGTACTAACTGCTATTGTTCAAGTATCGTGCTGGAAGTCTGAACTGACTGTAGAGAATGAGTTACCAAGGGGTTATTTTACCAGGTATGACCTGACTTCAGTTGTGACCATGTTTCAGTGTGTTTCCGACATAGGAGAGTTGTGCTGCTGTCTAGATCTTCTTGAATGTTGATAAAAAATGAATGACTACTACAATACATTTTGTGTTGCTTGTTGGATGAATTTGCATGTTAACTGTAGGCCACTATAGATTTGCCTTTAAAATTCTGGAAGAGCTACATAGTCATCATTAGTTCCTATTAATTGTGCATCAAACAAAAGCCATTTTTTACCAAACTGGAAAACCAGAGGCTTTTCTTAATGACTTGATATACTGTAACAAATATGAATTTAAATTTGTGAACATGCTCTGGTTGCTCTAAGCATAATTAAGAATTTTTGTAATGAATAGGTTGCTAATTATTTATTATAGTTAAAAAAAAAAGGGGGGGGAAAAAAGGCATAAAATGACCTTCTACTGATTAGATTTTCAGTTTTCCCAAAACTGGAAATGCCTCACCATAAATAAGATCTATAAGTTTGTTTCCTAAAACTCAGCAGATCAATGTTTTATGTAAAATATTAAAATACTAATAGATGTGTAATAAACACAGTCTAAATCCAGAAAATTGCAGTTCTAAAAGTTCATGAAACAGATTACATTAATTAAAACAGGATTCTGTAGAAGTAGAAAGCAAAATAAAGGAAAATCTTTTTTAACCAGAACAAATATTAATAACCGTTGCAGAAAATAGTGGATTTTGGATTCCAAACATTTTTGACAGGGTAATGGAAATTTTTCTGTAATTTTCTTATCACTGGGTATTTTTTAAAGCATTCATTGAGTTTACCAAAAGTTACTGTAGTTTAAAAGGTTTTGTGAGCGCTACCTACTGGCAGAAAACGCACTTGCAAATAAAAATAAATGTTTGCCTTTTCCCCATTGTCTTATTGAAAACTCCAGTGATTTCCTGAATTTTTCTTGAAGAAAGTTTCCTTTATAATCTTGAGGAATGCAAATGAGTTTGTATGAAATTACATGTAGCATCATGATAACACAAAGCAAAGACAAATCTTTCCATCCCTAGAGGTTACAAATAGCGTAAGACTATGGTGTAGACACCACCGTTGAGAACCAAATTATTCAATTCTGGATTGCCAAGCTCAAGGAGAGCCAGATTCATGGCTAAATCTCCCTTTCCACTTCCCTTTTCCAAAGATGCTGAACTGATCTGAGGACTTTTGCCAACAAAGGAGATATCAAAGGACCTGAGTTAGAGAAGGTGTAGTTGAGAGAGCTTTCTGATAGCCTGGAAGACAGTGTTGGGCCCCTTTGCCTCTATGGATGACAAGGAAGACATGAACATGTATCCCACGAAGTTGAGGAGACACTTGTATATGGAAAGCCCATTTCTCATCTTGAGATTTCTGAAGGCGGTAACTCTCAGGAAATAGCCTAGGAATGCACAATGTGAAAGGAGGCAGTATGTTGTGTGCCAGGGAAGACAAAGATGTGGCAACCTCTCCCCACACAGGTCTCCACAGTCTTTGGAGGGCACGGAAGGAAATACCAGGTTCCTTTGGCTGTGCTGGATGGAGCATGGAGAGGGAATAGGGAACATGGGGCTAAACTGAATGAACTACTTAACCAAGTAATGGGATGCCCAATATAGAGAGTACATTGGAGGCATGAACTACTGGGGGGAACTAAAGGATGAGATGGCTGCTTTTCTGCAGTGAGTAGGATCCTCCCAATGGAGGGGTCTGGGTGGAGCTGAACCTTATTCTGAAAACCAGATATATCATCTACACCAAGACCATTCTCAATAGCAGAGGCTGAACCTAAATGAGACTCAGGCACCTTACCTTCCCCCAACAGCGTCCCCATGGCAGCTGAGTACCATCTAGGTAACCAAAAGATTCCTCCCCTTCTACTCCTCATACACTTGGGCTATGGGTTAGTGTGAGACCCCATGATTTGGGGGAGGAATTTAGGAGAAACAAAGGGGGAATAAGAGAGCATACCATGTCTCCTGCCACTACCTAACCACTGCTGCCTATTTCTCTTTCTCTAATGCAAGCTTAGCCTGAACAAGGGAAGGGAGTGTTCATTTGAATTAGAATGAGATTGATTTTTTTAACTGGATTAGACAGATGGATCAGACTGAGTTATGGTTGTGTCCCTATCACCCCCTTAGAGGAATACACTCAGTAGCAATTACTGGAAAGATAAAATCATTCCACAAAGTTAACAACTCAATAAGTTCAGACTTTTAGGTCAGACTGGCTAAATGAACAGCACTGTGTCATTGAGGAAGAAGTAATGAGATTCCAAGCAGAGAAGAGATTGTCTGAAGTGGTTTCAAAATGTACAAGCAGGAGAAATTTTGGGAACGTAACAGAATACAGTAGGAAATCCACATTGTGCAGGAAAGTTGGTCAATTTGAGCCGAAGCATGTGCATTTTGAGTTGTATTTTCAAGTCAAATCAATATATTACCTTAGTGTGATAATACTTAATTAGTAATTCTTAGTATGGGAATAATAATACTTAGTAATACTTAGTGTGGTAATACTTAGTTTTCTGCCAACAGACTCTGACAGAAAAGATTTAGACACAAGTATTTTATTTAGGAAATGATCCCAGGAAGCTCAAGTGGCAAAGAGGAGAAGTGAGACAAAGAAGACGGAAACCAAACCCATTGCCATGGAGTCGATTCCGACTCACAGTAACCCTATAGGACAGAGTAGAACTGCCCCCATCGGATTTCCAAGGAGTGGCTGGTGGATTCGAACTGCTGATTTTCTGGTTAGCAGCTGAGCTCTTTAACCACTTCACCACCAAGGCTCCAAAGAAGAGAGAGAAGTCAATAAAATGTGTATTAATGAGCGGGATACCATGATAGGCAACTGGGGCTCAATCCCACGGGAGACCTTGTAAGAGACACTCCTAAATTTTCCTTCTGGAGGTGCTGGGGTATTTATCCACCATCATTGAGTGAGGATTGCTTCTGAAACATCAACTCCCAGAGCTTCCAGCTCGCCCTGCATATGGGCAAAGGTTGTTCCTTCTGCCAAAGAATACCCTCTGGGAGAGAGACACGGAAGCCATTGACATATACAGGAGCAGTCAGTAAATAAACTCCAGGAAGAACCAAGGAAAGATGACTGGGGCCCTGGCATCGTCTCCTGCATAAAGAGATATGATTAAGATCAAAACTAAGACTTGAAAAAATTGATGAGTTGCTGACTTCTGGATCAAAATATCCTGATTTAAAAGTAAAGGGATTCCTTATCCTGAAATGTTCCTCTAGCCTGGATGTGCACAGAAAAATGGTTGTGTCAGAGGTAACCCTTCTAAGATACACAAGACTCCTGGATTGTGCCCTCCAGAGAAAGTTTTCCAAGTGAGCATGGTATATTGGGAACATTTTGCAATCAAATTTTATTCTGTCTTTCAGTGATCTTATGGAACTTAACCTCTTTCAACCTCAGATTCCTAGCTATAAAATGAGAATGATACACCCTACATTAGTGAGTTGTTCATTCATCCATTCATTCTTCTTTTTTCATTCAATCACCAACACCTTTTATATGGTCATTGAGATGAAGCATCCAATGCTCTAATGAAGCTATTTGCTCAAGCTCACATGGAAAATGCTTTCATGATTATGCCTCATCATGGCTAGCATTTCTGAAAACTTAAAGCTAGAAAGGACTTCAAGACTTGCTATGATCCTCCTTAACTTAGCTAACCAAGGCCCAGAAGAGTTAGATAAAGCTAGCATGTTAATCATAGTACCTGAATAGACACCCCGCCCAACACACACACACACACACACACACACACACACACACACACACACACACACACACACACCACACTAGAACTTCAGTTCCCTGAGGGTAGGGATTTTCGCCTGTTTCATTCACTGGTTCACTGAAGTGTCCCCAACACTCAAAGCAGGGCCTAGAAAGCACATGATCGGGGATAATAAATGCTTGTTATATCATTTGTCACATAAGCCTTTGTGACAGTGAGGCAGGAAGTACCCATCCTTCCCCAAGAGGCAAGCTGGCAGGTCTAGTCACTTTAAACGGGGTTCTTAGCCTAATTTTGCACCCTGGACCCTGTTGGATGTCTGAAGTCTATGAACCCCTCCTCAGAAAAATGTTTTTCCCTTCTCAGAAAAATGTTTTTCCCGTCTCAGAAAAATGTTTTTAATTGCATAAAGTAAAATGCATAGGCTTACAAAAGAAATCAATTAAAGCATAGTTATAAATTTTTTTTTTTACTTTTGTGGTATAATGCAATAGCAAGACCTCATGGTGGTCCTAGTAACTACCATGATTCCAAAGTGATGAGTGTAAATGAGTTTTGCAACATCTTTGGCAAGCGTTGTATAATATGAAAATATCGGTCATTTCTGTTGGCGACAAAGGCACTGGTCCTGCTTATACAACAATTGCGATTTGATGCCTGAATTCATAACTGAAGGAAACTCTGCTTTTCATATGAGGTTAGAAAAACTAAAGATGTAATTTTTTCCCATCCCGGTTCATGGATTCCTATTCCTTCCTGCCCCCTATGCCTACTCCCCAAACGAACAAACCCCCAGGCAATTTACTGAGGGGGGAACCCCTGCATAGACACATACTCTGAATTCAAAATACACTGACACAGAACACTGTGGAACCAGGTTAAAAACCCCTGCATTAGACCCTTCAGATCTTACATTACTCCCTTGTTTGGCAGGTGTTATGAATTGAATTGTGTTCCCCAAAAATATGTCTTGTAAATCCTAACCTCTATGCCTGTGGTTATAATCCCATTTGGGAATGGTTGTCTTTGTTATGTTAATGAGGCAGGATTAGCATAGGGTGTATTTTGAGTCAATCGCTTTTGAGATATAAATGAGATTAAACAGTGGAGAAGAGATGAGGTAAGATAGATACTAAGACACATGGAGATCTCCAAGAAACCACGAAACAAGCAGAAGAGCACGGACCTTCCCCCAGAGCCAACAGAGGGTGAAAGGCTTCCCTGGAGCCGGCACCTTGACTTCTGACTGCTAGCCTCATAAACTGTGAGGAAATAACTTTCCATTTGGCAACGCCACCCACTTGTGGTATTTCTGTTACAGCGGCACGAGATAACTAAGACAGCAGGTAAAAATTGGAATATACGTGTTAAGTATTGTGCTGGAAAAATGTCATTAATAATACCTTTTATGGAGCATTTCCAATGTGACAAACACTGTGATCGTTTAACATTTAACTTTTAACTTTCTTGAGTCCTCAAACAACTTTGCAAGGATAAGGAAGTACACACGATTTTCAGATGAGAAAACAAACACAGAGAAGCCAATTATTTGGCTAATGTTGCACGTAGGTAAATGATAGGTGAAGCATCTGGGGCCAGAAGTTTTCATACTTTAACCTACATCAGCATCACCTTAGTATAAATGCAGATTCAAGAGTCTCACCCTAGAGATTCTTAATCAGTCTGGGACAATGCCATAGAATTGACATTTTTCAATGCCCCCAAAGAATGATTCTGATGCAGGCTGCTTCGAACTGCACTTTGAGATACACTGATTTCAAGCTGTGTCTTTCTGGCTGAGGCCACTTGGGAGATTGTTCCAGGGAAGCATTTGGGCCCAGCACCAGTTTGGACTACCTCCCCAGGAAAACAGGCCCGGGTGTGAACACAGCACGATGCCTCCACCAGGCGCTGCAGGTCATCCCTACATCTTTCCTCCCATTTCTCCACTCACGGTTCTCTCTCCACACCCATGCTTCTTTGCTACTTGCAAGTTGGCTTCAATAAGAGCAAAGATTGGGCAACTGGCGAGAAGACAGTGGTTACAGTTAGGAGGCCCAGGGTGGAAATTGAGTCTGCCTTGCCCTCGGAGGCAGTTTCACTAGGAGCTATTTCCTGGGCGTGGGGTGAGGGATGAGTGGAGATCCTGCAAAGAAACACACCCTGAATTTAAATCAAAACTCACCCTCCCTGAAAAAGAAATCTGCATGTGGTTCATCTGGCCTGGCTTTTCCAGGCAGGCAGATCCAGCAACCAGACCCAGCATCCTTCTGTGCCCAGAGATGTTTATGTTGAAAGACCCAGTAAAAAAGAAAAATGACAGTTAATGGGGTAATTGAGCATCTGTGGTTTATGTTTGTGTTCTTTCTTGGTCTCTGAGCTTGGGAAACAAAGCAGATAGATGACCCATTGCCACAGCTGCATTCTGGTCCAAAATGTGGGACAGTAGCAATGGGCTGAGGCCCAGGGTTGAGTTCAGTCCCTCTGGATACCTGGCCCTCTCTCTGAGCTGGGAGAATGCTGGGCACGGTCACTCCCAGAGGAGATTGCTCCTCCCATCCATCTGGGGGCCCTCTTTATTTTGTTTAGTTGATAATAGAGGTGAAGTCAAGGCTGAGAGAAATAAGTCTAGGTGCAAAAGAAATTTGGCTGAGTTTGCGATCTGATTTTAGAACAACTCAATAAAGATGACCTGATGAATAATAATAATAATAACAATAATAGTAATAATAATTTTTGTCCATACCGCATATGACAGGCAGAAAAGTCACTCTTAATTTGAGAATTAAGAAATTTGGATTCTAGCAAAATTTAATTAGTCAGCTTAGACACCGGGATGTTTTCATTTTGAAACGAGCCAGGGCGCTCTGTTCTTTCTCAGAATAACAGGTTTATGTGTGTAGGTTTTCTTGTCATTTCTTCTCCATGGGCTTGAAGCTGTCAAGTTCAAGTTCACCACCATGTCCCCATACTGAGCGTGCACTCAGTAGGTGCTCAAAACTATTTATGGAAAAATGAATGAATGACGATTCCAAAACGAATCATGAGTCCTATGTGGTATGAAAGCAAGTTAAAAAAACACAAGGGACTTTTCGGAAGGGTGACTCAGACAGGTTTAAGATTTTTTTTCTGAAGGGCTTACAGAAAGGAATGGTAACTCATTGTGAAATCCTAGCTGCAGCTAAGTGTTCACGTCTCCCCAAGTCCTTGGATGGTTCCAAATAAAGAGTATGAAAGTTTCAAAACATACATGGGGTGCTACAAAGGAAAGGGCTGGCTTAGTTTGCGGCCCCATGATCACAGATGCATAAGAGAGTGAACTAAGTCATCCCTGGAGTGGGTCCACCGGCCCTCAGTCTCCTTTTCCTGCTGCAATATCAACTTTATTGAGGAACTGGGGATTATTCCTCACTAGTACCAGGCAGGAAACCTGGAGGTGTAGCAGTTACATGCTATGGCTGCTAACCCAAAAGGTTGGCAGTTCAAATCCACCAGGCACTCCTTGGAAACTGTATGGGCATTTCTACTCTGTCCTATAGGGTTACTATGAGTTGGACTTGACTTAATGGCAATGGGTTTCGTTTTTTGGGGGTTTTTTTAGTACCAGGTAGATACTGAAGAAAGAACACGTAGGGAAAAAGACTGAGGTTGCTGGAGCAGTAAACAAACTGGTAATAGAACGTCAACTTGCTGATACTTATCAAGGTTCGCTGGGATAATGAATTTGTGAGGATAAGCCGCTGGCAGCGGTTGAGTTAGAGAGATGAACTCATGAGCTGCCTGTCATCGAGTGGAGATTGTGTGGGAAGGTAGGGGGGTTTAGAAACTGAGTGATGTTCAAAATGTACATTTCTCTAGGAAGTTTCCATAAATTATATTTTAATTCAAATAGACCTCAATTGAAGCTCCCATGTTCAATCCAGCTTTTGAATCCAAAGTGAAATGCCAAACACAAGACCAAGAAGCATCTTAAAGTGGTATTAGACCACTCATTCAAGAGGTAACTGTATTAGAAGTAAATATATTTGCAAAATAAATCCACGTTTCTTTACTTGGAAAAGCCAACTTCCCCCTATTGCTTCCCTCCCCTTCTGAGCTTTTCCTCTTGCTAAAATGAAAAATCCACCTTAATCATTGCCCTTTCTCCTCTAGACGCCAAAGAAACAGTTTTGTTTTCTTGTTTCAAGAAAGCAAGCAAAAAGTCAGACAGTAGTGTATTTTAATTCATTTGGAAAAACAAACTCACATGAATTGATTTTTCAGGTCCCCTTACCTGGACCTGACACATTTATGAAGTCCACATAACTCTGCATAGTTACATTAAACGGGTTCTTGTGCTACAAAGTCACTGAGTGCGTAGAGCAGTGAAACATTCCCAAGACAATCACTAGACATGCAGAACACCAGCCAGAAGCATGGGTCACTTTCAGGGGTCTTGCTGCAGGGAGCATGAGGCTGTATTGTGTATGCGCTAACAACTGTGTAGGGCAAGCCAGCCGTGTCCGAGGGAGAAAAGCATCCCCTCTGCCTCTGAACCTAAAAGGGTTTCCTCCCAAAAGAAGTGTGTTTTCAATCCCTAAACTCCCAGTCCAGATATCCCTCCAAGTTGTGGGTGTTGCCCATTGGACAGTCAAAGCCAAACCACCATGAGCATGAAAGCTAACTGAGCTCCTCATTCCCCTCCCCCAGCATGGAAGAAAGCAGCTACCATTCACTCCATGAATCCAAAGGAATCCCCCCATCCCTGGGTTTAAGCACGGATGCAGGCCAAGCAAGCCTCGAATACCCAGGCCTATTTGATTGCAGCTATATTGGTGTATCTTCATGTACGAGGTGGAAAAGTGCTTTTGTTTCTCTACCTGATCCAGCTGGAGGAAGGAGGGGCCGAGGACTGCCTGCCTAATGGTGCCTAGCCCATGTGCTTGTATTGCGATCGGTCCCTAGGGTTCTGCACCTGGTTAGCAGTCATTTTGTGGTGGATGTGGTAAATAGCGAGCGTCACCACGATGACCAGACCCAAAATGAGCCCCAAAATCAAGGGCAAGCTCTCCTCCAACTGCTCCCGCTCGTCCACTGGGCATTTATGCTCTGAAATGGGAAAGAAGGAGAAAAGTAATAAGCTCCTGTTGAAATAATCTGAGCCATAAGTCCTCCTATCAAAACTAAAAGGGAAAGAAGATGAAAAGATTTCTCAAGGGGAGATTTATTTTTTTCAGAAATATTTTCCCACCCAACCCCAAGGCTAAACTATGTAAAATTTCTGCATGATATAAAATAAAAATGCATCAGTATGACTAGGGCAACATTCAGATATCTGGATTCTTGACAGATGTGAACCAAATATCCAGGTGATTTCTTTGAATTTTCAGTGTTTCAGCATTAGAAACAACCACCATTATTTTTATTGTTGATTTAATTTTTTTCTCTTTTTATTGAAGTATAACATACACATGGAGAATTGCTTGCAAATCTACAGCTTTTAAAAAGACTGATAATACCAAGTGTTGGCAACCATATGGAGCAACTGGAACTCTTATATACCACTGGTGTAAAATGGTACAACAACCTTGTATTACTGTTTTGTAGTTTCTAATAAAGACAAACATACTCACCTACCTTAAGACTCAGCATTGCGTTCCTAGGTATTTACCCAAGAAATATGAAAACATATAGACACAAAAAGACTTGAACATAAATGTTCATAGAAGGTTTATTCCTAATAGCCCCAAACTGGAAACAATTAAAATGTCCATCACAGTAGAATTGATAAACAAATTGTGGCATATTCATACAGTGGAATATTAGTCAATTATAAAAAGGAATGAACTATTGCTTCATGCAACAATACGGGTGAATCTCAAAAACATCACGTTCAGTGAAAATTTCCAGACAAAGAAGAGTACATATTGTATTATTCCATTTATATGAAGTTCAAAACTAAGTTTACAGTGAAAGAAGTCAGAATAGTGCTTACATGTGTGGAAAGGGGCACAGGGAAGTTTCAGGTAGCATGGAAATGTTCTGACTCTTGATCTGTGTGATGGTTGCAAGTATGTAAAAATGCATGGAGCTGAACACTTAAGTTTTGTGCATTTTAAGGTATGTAAATTATACTTCAATTTAAAAAAAAAAAAAAGTAAACGTAGAGCTCAGTGGATTTTCACAAATGAATGCCCCGTGTAACCTGCATCTATATCAAGAAAAAAACATTACCAGCACCTCAGAGCTGATTCAGTTTATACCCTCCTAAAATTGGGAGCCCTGGTGGTGAAGTGATGAAGACCTCAGGCTGCTAACCAAAAGGTCAGCAGTTCAAATCCACCAGCCGCTCCTTGGAAACCCTATGGGGCAGTTTTACTCTGTCTTATAGGGTCGCTATGAGTCAATCAACTCAATGGCACACAACAACAATAACAAAATTCAAGACAGTTTACTAGCCCTTGTAACTCCATTTTTAGAAGGAACCGGAAAAACAATTCTTGGGAAACGTTTTGGCGGTCTGAGAGTTTGTAAGGTTGACCAGAATTGCATTTCTAGAAACCAGACCACATTTGCACAGGTTCATTTGCTTTGTATGGGTAATACGCAGCCTCTTCACTGAACTTATGAATCCAAACTGGAGAAAACAAGTTTTATGTATCTCTTCATAAAGACCACATTTTTAAGGCAAAATGACCCAGTAAACATTTATTGAGCACCTACTGTGTGCCAGCCTCCTCCAGGGTCCCTGTTGACACAGCCGCTCCTCTCATCTTGCCTGAGAGCAGCAGAAAGGAGGAGCGTTAAGTCCTGAGTCCCAGGAGTTATTCCTCCTTAATAATAGTAAAAATCAAACCAAACCTGTTGCCATCGAGTTGATTCTGACTCATAGCCACCCTATAATAATAATAAATGCAAAATTACACACAAATACACAGCTTTTAAAAAGCTGTAGACTTAACATTCTTGGCTCCTAAGTTAGCATTCAGTTCTAAGCATCAAGAATATCTCATTTAATCCCCATATGAGGTAAATACTATTTTTATACATAAGGTAACTGAGAGGTAAAGAAGCTAAGGCTAAGTAATTTGCCCAGGGATAAATGAACCTGTGATCTGAACTCAAACGGCTTAACTCAGCAGCAAGTTAGGGCAGCACTTGGCAGACCGAGCTCTTGGCATCAAAAGGCTACAGAATAACAAGGCGGGGCTGGGAGGTAGGCATACCGCATACTTGAT